AATTAATTAATAACATTATACGTTGTTATTCGGACAAAATAAAAATCCTAAACAAATAAAATGAGACGCTACAAAATAATTTATGTCAAAAGTGTTGCCTTATATTGCCAAATATATATATGTGTGAATAATACATTGTGTAAGTTTTTATTCATAGAGCTTATCCGTACATTAGTTTAAGAGTATTCCTGATATTAATAATTATTTTCAGGATTAAATATAAAATATCATATTCAAACACATCTAACATTGTTCATGAATTTAAATTCAGATGACCTCAATGTATTTCTGCTTATAACGCATCGACATGTTCGATATGTTGCTTACGTTCTAGTGATAAATTAAAAATATATATATAATTTACTGAATAAAGAAAACAAAATATATCCTGCCTAATACAATGTTTACCGGGTTAAGGTTTTTAGAAATGATAGGGACCACTGAGGGAGGAAAAAAGAGAGTTGGTATATAAGAATTTGTTTCAATCATCTAGCGAGGCTTTAAGTTAATAATGCACTGTGGACTTCAATATAATGTTACTTTCGCTGTAGGTAATTTACATTTTTTTTTCTATATCTAGGCAGTAATGGCGTCCCTGTTAATTTATCCACTTTCTGATTAATGTGTCTCCGGATAGGTGATTAAAAACTGTGCTTGTAAATTATTCATTTTCTGCGTCTATGCGCAGTTTTCATAAACCAATCAAACAATTCAGAAGTCTTAAATAATCACACTGTGTGATACTAAACCGTCACTTAACGGCTGCTAAGTGCATGAAATCAGTTTCTTGATACTAATACTTAGAAGTTTTCAACAATGAATCCTGAGAAAATGTGGCACCACTAATAAAATGTGAAAAAACGGAACCTCTCCCACCATCACACACAAACACAAACAAATAAATAAAATATTGCAGCAAATTTGTATTTTGTTGTTTTTAAGTAACAAAAAAATATTTTCCCACTTCGCATTATTACTGGTACCATTATTACGGGCGTACTCTTCAACTAAGGATAAGATTAGGCATTATTCTTAATATGTCGTTAAAGTTATGCAGCTATTTATGTGGTTGAAATGTGAAGGTTTTAGTCAGACTATGAAAGTAAAACTTTGGCCAACACTTCGGGTTAAGTATTACCTATATTTTCATACAACTGTGTGAAATACATGCTGTAAATAAATAAACGAGTCACATAGTTTTTCAGATCAGAGAAATTAATTTTGTTATTTATCTATATTGATCTGAAACTCTAAATTAAAAATATATTATACTGTATGGCTGTATGCAAGCTAGCTTAAACGGTGATAAAAAAAAGTAGCTATAAATAAAGGACGAGTGTTAGGCTGATAGTGATACGGTCCGTAGTGAAAGCAGTCGTGTAAACATTTCATATTAAATCCTTAAACACAGATACATTCAAAATCTATCACAATAGTTATATTTATTAACCCTTTAAATCTTAATATTAAATTTCTTATAAAACGTTTGCGTATGGCGTTGCATAATTTGTTTATTTAATTTACATAGTTGAACGTTGTAACTAGTGAGTAACAATAACAGAAAGCAAATCCTCAGGCTAAACCAGGGATTCCCAACTTTTTTGTTCCTCTGTACCCCTTGGTCTTGGGCATTCTGACAGGTTCCCATGTACCCCTAACAATTAAGGATCAAAAATTGATAACATTATATTGATTTTATATTATTTTATTATGAAATCTGTATGTGTGGACTGCATAAGGATCTTATAGTATTGATAACATCGATAAATTGAACTCAGCGTATATTTATGTAGATTAAAACACCATGTAAAGTGTAAACCATG